CACGTGAACTCTGGATGCTTCACGCAAAGGACAACGGTGTAGTCAAGATCGATAACATTGAAGGAGGTAACTAGACAACACACATTCAAAGATACAATAACAACAGTATCGGTCAAAAACGCAGTAAGTAAGTATCAACCTAGACCACGCGACTTTGAACGGAGAAAGTGTTTTGAGATGGACAGAACAGATGTTAGATAATAGATTGGCGCGCGCAGAAAGATACGAATCGGAGTTAGGTAGTCTATGAATTCCCTTCAGCGAGGGAATTCATAGACAATTAGAGCGAGAGGGCACCTTGCATAAACGGTTCCGGGGTGGAAGACCAAGTGTAGTTGCCTCCGAGAATAACCGAAGTGAAAGTGCGACGCGTGGTCCAGGTTCATGGACATCGAGAGCACAGAGATACCATTTTGAGGAGTTGCCGGAGAACTTGAAGCAGTCCGGTGAAGCCAGAAAACCAGTAAAAGCGATAGGACATCCGGACCGCGTGGAAAGAGACAAGCCCAGAGCAAGAGAATCGAGTTGCGACCAGAATGTCCAATTGCGTTGCCGGAAGCCGCCCAAAGAATGCCGCCAGTAAGAAAGAAAAAATCCCCCAGCAACAGTTCCCGGTAAAAGCGGCCCGGATTCTGACGTCACGGCGCCTAAGAAAGCAAAAAAAAAAGCGCACAGAAAGACCTTGACTCCCAGAAGTGTATGCGGAGAGACTCCAGGAAAGCTCGACAAGAAGACCCGCCACTCTCCCCGCTCGCTCTCTTCCTCCTGCGCGTGCCTGCGGGTATGTGCGTGCTCGATTGAAGAACTTGCTTGTGAATTTGCGTCCACGGATGGGCTCGGATGTCTACGGCGAGGTGCGTCGTGTACGCTTTGTACCCGCACCTGCTGCGCCCGCACCCGCACCTCACACCGAGATAATAAGCCACGTGCGTACTGCCCAGTTTGTGCGCGCGCCCTCGTCATACGCTTCCAATCCCAAAGCCGACTGTCCATGAACCCCGAAGCTGAAGAACCCTGCACCAGTGGGGCCTAGCCTGCCTATACATCGCCACGGACGCCGCCGCCACCGCCGCGCGCGAGGAGGACGACGCGGGGGGCGGCGGGAGCGGGAGCATGGCTGGCGTAGTTGTGTCCACGTCCCCGTTGTGCGTGTCGGCGCTGGCGTCTGCAGATGCGCTAATGTCGGTGTCTGTGTCGCCGTAGCAGATGGCGGTGCAGACAAGGGCGGCGACGTGCCCGCGCTGTCCATGCGCGCTACTGGCGTCGGCGGCGCCGTAGAGCTCGAGCTCGATGCCAAGGCAGGCAAGACCGTCGCCGGCCTCGCGCGCTTCGCCGTCCGCCCACCCGTATCGTCGTCAGCCACCTTGCGCTTTTCGGTCGCGGTACTGCCCCCCCATCTTTTCCTCCAGCGCAGGCCGCGCGGGCGCCATCTCGCGCCCCAGATTCGCAGCTGGCGTCGACGCCACGCTGCTCCCACTCGCACTACTCCCACCCCCGCCCTCCTCCCCATCCGCATCTGGGTCCTCGTCCACACCAGCGCGCGGGACAGCGACAGCTGGGAGAGAGCGAGGGATGGATGGGAGTATGTATGTATGTACGGACAGGAGGAACGTACGAACAGGAGGAACGCCGGTACGAGCACGATGAGGGAGGAAGGAGGGAGAGATGTAAAGGGATGGCCGTGCGGGCCGCAAATGGAGGGCGGGGCGGAAAGAAGAGGGCGTCGTGATGAAGAAAGAGATGGAGGAAGGCGCGAAGAGAAGGGAAGAGAAGAGCAGGAGCGGTGCGGAGAGGCGGACGAGGATAAGACGACGACGAAGAAGATGAAGACAAAGACGGGACGGAGATGAAGATCATGAAAGGAGCGGTGAGGAGAAATCGGGGCGGGAGACGAATATAAGATGATGTGGGATACGGTGGTGGCAGACTGAGCGTTGGCGTGGCGCGGGGCAAGTCGCAGAAAGGAGCAGCAGAAGGAAGGAAGACGAGCGACGGCAGGGTGGAAGTGTGAGAAGAGGAAGGGAAGGAGGGACGAGAGAAGAACGCGAGGCGGTGCGGACGGAGGGAGGGAGGAGCACTGAACAGACTGAGACAGGGAGGGAAGGAAGGAAGGCGGTAGGCTCGGAGAAATGATGACACACTCACTAGCATGCCCAAGCTTCTAAAGAGCTGCACGACGCGCCATGGAGGGAAGCGGAAAGGAATAAAACGAATTTATTCGAAAATTTGCGCGTCGCCCGTGGTCGCAATCCACCCGCTCCACGGCGGCTCCTAGTGTTGCCACGGCTCGGCTTCGAGCCGCTAGCCGTGCGAGCCGAGCCGAATTTAGCCGAGCCGAGCCAGCTGGCAAGCCCAAATTAGGCAATCGGCTTTCGCGGCTCGGCTACAGCTTGAGCTGACTTGAAGCCGGCTCAGCCACGGCTCATACCCAATATAGCAAATGCTGCATTTAGGTGTCTCTGGAGCCTCTGAACATAGTAGATAGACTGTTTTGTGTCTTGACTCCATGGTTCATCAGTCAGCTACCTCAAAAACAGGTCATTCTGATCATTTTGTAACCTTTTGTTGAAGTTTCAAGTCGACTTGCTACACCTTGATACCTCAGAGCTGCTTGATTTCGGCTATATTAATGACCCGCCATCCACTCATAATATTTCTGAGGGGTCTAAATGTTAGATCTGTCGATGTGATAATTAGAAACAACTACAGACAGCAACTTGATAATGGTGGGAAACCCACGGAATTTGGTTGCAAAGAAAGTCAAAATGTGTGTGGCTGGGTGTTACATAGCTATATGAATGTCTTTCGAGCCCTACGGGCTGAAACCACACAAGGCTTGCTTGAATATCCTAATTGGTGCTAAGCCGCGGCTAAGCTGAAGCCGAGCCAAAGCCGCCACAAGCCGGCGGCTTGGATGCGGCTCGGCTTTCCCAATTAGGCAACGGCTTCCGAGCCATCAAAAGCCGAGCCGAGCCAGCCGTAGCCGAGCCGTGGCAACACTAGCGGCTCCGTCCATGCGGGCGTCGACATGCCAAAGGCGGTGTGGACCTCTTCAAGATTGCAACTACTTGGCTTGCGGTAAGCGTTGTCATCTCCTCCTGGCCCTACTATGCTCCAGATCTTCGGTCGCCGCCGTCGTATGTGGAGGAGCGGGGGTGCCAGCGCAAAGCCAATCACCTTTTGGTCGTGGCGGGATTACGTCAGCTCCGCCGGCTTGCCCCGCCCACTGTCCCCGTCGGCTTACTTGCATGTTTCTTGCGCGGACTCGCATATTTCCGCTGACAACTATGCACTGCTGCCACTGTGCACCGGCAGCTCCGGCTCTTTGCAGCTCTCATTTCATTTCATGATCATTTTAGAGTGCGCGCGGGTAGACTCGTTACCAGTCTGTAAACGAATCCGAAAAAAATGCGGCAAGCGCTTCGGTGTTTACAGACTGGTACAACTCGTTGACAGGTGTCGAGCTGTCCCCGGAGTTTGAAAGTTTGGCAGGTGCCGCGATCGGCCGAGAAGCGAGCCATCAATAACCATCAATTCTGCCCGAAAGTTGATGCGTCGTTCCACTCTCCCAAGCAGGATAAAAATAATTTTAGGAGGCAGATCTACTCATTTTTGTAATTAGATTGTTCCTAGGTATCTCAATTTCAATCATATCCAAACTGCAGCGCAGAACAGGGCCCTCGCTAAAAATTCAAACTCCGCGCACAACCCAATCCGGTTTCCCGAGATGTACCAGTCTGTAACCACCGAAGTGCTTGCCACATTTTCGGCCAATTGGTTACAGACTGGTAACGAGTCTAGCGCGCGGGCCCCTTGGGGCCCATGTGGCACTACACATAGGTACATGTAAGTAGACTAGCTGGCCGTATGGGAATAACGAGCAGTGGGCATGTAGCAGCGGTGGGTGGAGTGAGCTATGAGGTGCTATGGGGGGGGAGGGTGTGATTTAAGAGGAATTGATGTGATGTAGAGGTGTCTCGACAAGTAATCAGAAGTATGAGTGAGAGAGATGTATGGACATTGGAGAGAGAGAATTAAGTAAAGAAAAGGAGAAAAGACGACTCGCCTAGGGCGCGTAGCGTGGGAGGCGGCCAGTGTCACACACAAAGGCGAGGACAGGTTTGGGGTCCGATTTCACACCGAGGAGGAGCCGAAGGGAGAGACGGACCGTGCCAACTTTGTGAATGAGCTCGAGGCGCTGCCGACGGTACATGGGGCACGCGAGGATGAAGTGTGACACCGTCTCTGGGACATGGCAGTGGGCACAGTTGGGGGAGGGGCCGAGGTGGAAGCAGAAGAGGAAGGTGTTGAGGCTGATATGGGAGGTCCTCAACTGCATCAGCACACTGCACTGCAGGCGCGAGAGCCTGTCGTACATATTCTCCACCTTCTTCCCTGGGATCGCGGCGCCGAGGAGAGAGAGGCACGCAAAGCACGTAAACATTCTCCACTTGTCCAGCCAGCGCTTGCGGAAGAGCTTGGCGCCTGCGGCCAGCGCCGCTGCCCTGCTAGCGGGGAGGGGTTTGGCGAAGGCAGGGATGGGGATGGTGAGGTCGGAGGAGGCGCTGAGGGCCGCCTCTTTCATGCGTGCATCCACAGCTTCATTGCCTGGGATCCCGACGTGCGCTGGAACCCAGTGAATGCGGATCCTGAGCATGGGACGAGTGGAGCGGAGCCGATGGAGGAGGGTGTGGAAGATGGAGAGGAGGTGCTGGCCGGGTTGGGGGCATGGCACTCCAATTGCGGTAATGGCGGGCTGGCAGTCGGTGAAGATGTCGACGCTAGTCACACTACTGAGCCGCGGCGTCGCCTTGATGATGTTGAGGGCGAGGATGGTGCTGATGACCTCTGACTTGAAGACAGTGTGCTCGTCTTCGCTCCCCAGGTGCTTCATCCTCACTATTCCCTCCTTTGCGGCTCTACTATTGTGTGGCTGACCTTTTTCACCAAATGGCAAAAAAAAACCCAAATATTCCACCAGTTCCAAATTATAGGAACAAGACCTAATAGCAAAGTTGGCATCGCATCCACTGCACTTGGCAGAGTAATTCTTATGTGGAAGTCCCTCGTTCGAATCGAGGTTAGGTCCTTTGGCTTGTACAATGCCAGTGCGATTTTTTTATTCGCCCCCTCACAGAAGCCCAAATATTACAGTATCAAGCACGGTTCTTTATGCAAGTTCCTCGTTCGACTCGACGTTAGATCCTATTTCTGGCGCCTCTGTTTTTTAACCACAATCAAGTCCACCAAGCCCAATCGAAGTTTTCTTCTTTTTCATTCAGCCCACCCAAAGGTCTGAAATAGTCCGGTATCAAGCAAGGTTCAGGCTTTTAGGAGGAAGACCTAATAGTGAAATTGGCATCGCACCCACTCCTGCTGGTGCGAATCCGTGCGTGGCTATGGAAGTCCCTCGTTCGAACCGAGGTTAGGTTGTTTTCATTCTTCGCAGCCGTTTTTCTCTTTCTTTTCACTCAACCCACAGCCAAAAGCCCAAAACGATCACATGCACCTATCCAAGGGCAAGGAAAGGGGAGGAAAGACTTAATAGCGAAATAGGTATCGCGTCCACTCTAATTAGGCCGAGTATCAGCTGCAATATGTGGAAGTCCCTCGTTCGAACCGAGGTTAGGCCCTACTCCAGCCACCGAATTTTTTTTATCATCCCACCAAGTGCTGGAAAAAAAATACAGCAGTAAGTTAGGTGCAGAATTGCACCAGGAAGACCTAATAGCGAAGTTGGCGTCACGTCTGCTCTGGTGGGGGACAATATTTGGTAATGGCCTTCATGTGGAAGTCCCTCGTTCGAACCGAGGTTAGGTCCTTCTCCAGCCACCGAACTTTTTTTATCATCCCACCAAGTGCTGGAAAAAAAATACAGCAGTAAACCAGGTGCAGAATTGCACCAGGAAGACCTAATAGCGAAGTTGGCGTCGCGTCCGTTCTGGTAGGGGACAATATCTGGTAATGGCCTTCATGTGGAAGTCCCTCGGACGAACCGAGGTTAGGTCCTTCTCCAGCCACCGAACTTTTTTTATCATCCCACCAAGTGCTGGAAAAAAAATACAGCAGTAAACCAGGTGCAGAATTGCGCCAGGAAGACCTACTAGCGAAATTGGCATTGCATCCACTCTGATAGATGGTAATGACCTTCATGTGGAAGTCCCTCGTTCGACTCGAGGTTAGGTTACGGAAGAGTTCTGACATCCCTCTTTGATTCAGCCCACACAAAAGTGCGAAATAATTCCGCTAAAACTCGTCGTACAGTTCATCGGAAATCCGGAACAATGGATGTCGCATCTGCCGTACAAGGTCCTGACTGTCCGGATCAAACCCCTTTTCCTCGTGGAACTTGCGCACTGCGGCGTAAACAACATCGTCCCAGAAACGTATTCGCACTCGCCTGGACCGGGATATGGACGGGAACCCAAGACGAGTAGCCTGGTGTATTGTGAGATTGTCGGCACCGGAGGGATCGAGTGACCAGTACGCGTCTGGCCATCGGAATGATATTGGATTTGTTAGATTGGAGACAAACAGATAACCTTGCGGAGGGTCGTTCATTGGTGCTGAAATTTTGAGCTCCCAGTTAATGAGGTATACAAGTGCTGTTGCCCGATGTCAGTGCCCAAACAATGACCGCTCGAACCCTAGAACACGCACCGTAGTCTTCGTAGTCCGACGTGATCTGGAGACGACTGAATATGTGATTCGCCTGGCATAGCCAAGAATCCGGCTCCTCCAGTGCCACAGGAAAATGGAGAGTAGTATCAAATACATCACACGAGTTGTGCCTTCGACATTGAACATGGTCAGCTCCGGCCTTTTATTTAAACATAAAGATAATACCGGGTCCAACCATCCTTAAGGATTTCTCCATGCATTTCTGTACCCCAAGGAATGACATATGTGTCCGCATCTGTCAGCGATGCGATCTCAACTGCGCTCTTGATTCGAGAGCCTAGAGGGTAGTACATTACTGCCCCCAAATTCCACTCTGCCTTTAAAACGTCCGCCGGTGGGATGGAGTGATAAATGCGCTCGTGGAATTGATATGGGTCCATGGAGTGAATAACCGCAGTCTCCGAATCCGGACGATCGAGGGGTATTATGGTATCAAGTCTCGATCTCTCCCGCCGCTGAATAAGAACGACGTCCATTCTGGAGAGATCGCTGGGTGTGAGGTCTATGCAGAGCTGACCAGTGGAGGGGCGAATCCAATCGGTACCCTGAGTGTCCAACTTCGACCTATGATGAGGAATATGAAGGTATAAGGATTTAGTCAGCGACTCACAATTGATCGCTGGAACTTTTGTTCAAAATATTGGTTGGCATCCTGTGGGAGAGTTAGAGCTGCTCAACGTGGTTCCCGAATGCCTACCCAGAAATCTGTTTCCTCGCGGGAACTCAATTCCTGCACGTAAAGTTGGGAGAGGACATACAGTGCGCGCAGTAATATATATGCTCAATAAACTTGAATACTGATAGTGTTTCAGAAATTCATAGTACGGGACGAGATCTAGATCAAGGGTCAGGTCAGGCCCTATTCTCCGTGCCACATTAGAACCAGAAGACGAACGAACCACCATGAGCTATAATACCATGAATACCGTTGGAAACCGTCACAGCGAAAATTTGAACAAAGTTGGGATGCCTGAAACTCAAGGTTACGAGAAGGATCGGACAAGTATCGCGGAGACTCACCGAAGTCCTGAATATCGGGAAAGATCCTGCCGCCACTCCTACAATGCGCAATGAACACATAATTCAGGGGCGAAAAGAAGGGTATGTAGTGCACCTGTTCCGCATTTATCCCCTCGTACAGAGTGATAATCATGTCAGACTTTCTGCCGTCGATTTTTCCCGAATACACCCGCCGCACGGACCCTCGTACCGGTCGTTTATGAACGACACCCGAAGCGCTGCTGACCCGTATCTCCCTCCTCAAATAAACATCTCCCAGTGGGATCCGCCGAAAATCTACTGCCCGAGCGTTAGAGTTATCGATTTATCTGCTAAGAGTGAGTCTACTCACCGTCAGGGGGATTCGCGGTCTGGTTTGTGACATTGATCGTGAATGCGCCGCCATTGACGACGAAATGGTGCGAGTTCGGGAAGAAGGCGCCCGCGTACCTCAATTAAGCAGCGTGAGGATGCGACCAACCCTGCTCAATACAGGTGCTTACGGGGTAGGTCCCGAATTGATTACGGTCGACTCTCCTAACTTAAATTGTGGATCCGAGTGAGGCTCGTCGTCCATGGACGGTAGTGGCAAGAGGAGAAAGATAAGTACAAAGTGCCAAGCCGCCCCACGCGCTGCCGGCTATAGGGACCCGGATTGCACCCAGGTGTACGGCACTCAGCCGATATCAACCTCATCACGTTTTCAATTTGAGGTGATAGATGCCGGCCAGCTGTCCGCAAGGGGCACCCGCCGGAAGATGCCGAAACACTCGCTTAAAGTATTGGGTCTGGGACCACCTAATGAGGGCGTCGGATCCGCTGGGATCAATTCTCTAGAGCAGACTCCAGAGCATTGATGGGAGAGCGAACAAAACCTGGAACAAGCCGGAGAATCTCGTAGAGCGAACAAAAAATGATCGTAGACATCAGTGAGGTCATGCGTAAACAAGTGTATATATGGAGCTGAGCTGTAACGGCAAGGGACTCCGAAAGGGGAAAAGAGCTGGAATCTCTGGAAAGGAAAAGAGAATAAAGAAAGAGGGAGTCCCAAGTGAGAAGAGTCCCGAAACTGGCGTTGATTCGACGAAGAGAACTACGACGAACCAAGAACTATATAAGTACAAGAGTATCGGAGTATGAGTAATCTAACAATATGAACTAGGATAAATCTGGATAAATATGATGAGAATCATAAGTAATGTCGTGAAAATGCGGAGAGTTCGGAGTGTATCGTAAATATAACTAGTACATGTAAGGGGCATGTCCGGAATATTCCGTGACCCTTACATGAGCCAGCTCATTATCACGCGTCTCTGCTCCCCTGACGCGTCTTTCGCACTCTCTGCGGCATTTAAACGTGCCGCTATGGCATCAATGAGTCTTCAGACGCTCTCCGTGACCGCCCCGAGCTTGCAGGCCTTGACTTCAATGGCTTGAATATGTTCGTGCGATATGCAACGCTGGTGAAGCCTACGATCGAATTCTCTCAAATGGACTGTCGGAAATGTCCTACCTCCCTTTCGCCACAAATCTGCCTTTTCTTGGCTTCTGCTCCGGGATACCACACGGATTTGATAGAATTGTGTCAGTCAGCATTCCGAGACCTCGTGTGGAATCAGCCCCCAATTTCGCCAACCGAAGCGGAAATACTGGAATACAATGACACCGCTTTACAATACGAAACTTGTAGGTCTCCAATATTCCAGTTGCCTGTTTTATTATAATATTCCATATGCAGCGTTCCGTCATTTATACCCGCCGATGCGCTCGTGCCAAGACTCTGGCTGTTCGAACCACCGAGAAGACGCCAGAATACTGACGCTCACTGAGCCGCTCACCTACAAAGCGACTCTTTTCACCGTGGGACATGGTGCACTCCCCATTTACACGTCGTCTTTGTATTGCAGATGTACATAGAATTTATTCAATATCAATATCCCTCGCATTCCTCATGTATCCACCACTCTGTTTAGCCTGTAATAGACGCTACCACCACAATTATTCAGTCCACAAGCAGAGTTCCTCCTGGACGTATTACGGTGGTGTCCCGGATGTGATTCAAGTCACGCAGCATTTCTTTTTAAAAAGTGCGCTGCTTGAGCTGTTCGCAAATAATATGGTATTTGGCTGGTAAGAGTCCACGCAACACATATCTGGTCGCATCTGACATCCTCTATCAGGCTCTCGGGCACCAATTGCGCGTGCATCTACAATCACGCGCTCTCAAGCCAAAAACCGCACGATGAAGCCAGTCAAAGCGATCGTTTGCAGCCGCCCTTGCAGAACGAAACAAGGCGATGGAGGGTACAGGTCAGGAGTGCTACCCGCACGCATGCGATCTCTGCTTCGTAATTTTACAGTGGTGTCCTTGTCTCTGTCGACAGACGGGCCAGCCTGAGGGTCAGCGAATTTTTGGCTACCTAAATCCAATTGATTGATGTGGGCTTCAGAACAACGATGGATAGAAACTTACTCAAATGTTGTGTCTGCTCAAGCAAACCAGCCGGCACATCGCGATGTTTTATGCGATGGTTTGATGTGTTGCATCCCCCAGCCGCTCTACACCACGCTGCACACTTGTGGATGGTCCGTGTACACTCCTTGTTTGCTCGCCGGCGTTTATTCTCAGCCGTACGACAGCTAACATCACAGAGAAGTGAGGTACCAACTTCCTCTGCTGACTTCTTGAGTGTAAACCAGATGGCGACATTCTCAGGAATATTCCCAATGGCGGTGGAGGGATTGTGCCAATA